GCATATACTTATGGAGTCTGTTCATTTTAAATCAGGATAACCATAGATTTCCTAGAAGTCCCTTAATAGTGAATTGGCCAGAACTATAAAGAGTAGTGCTTTGCCTTTTTTTTTTTTTAAACCTCTTTCAGGGACTTGGTCCTTAGCAGGTCCTATCACTTTGTTGTTTGGTGGTGGTGGTTGTTTTTATTTGATTAAGTAAAAATCCCCTCTCTGGGGGAAATGCCCTAATGAGGTCTGACTACGGTGTTAATGGCAGGTGTGCTACTGTACCCACTAACTTTTCAAGGACCCGGATCTACAAGGTTCTTTCTGAGGTCAGGGTTAGTAGTTGGGAGGAGGTAAGGTGTTGACCTTCCAGTCCTCACAGTGGCCCTGGACACAGTATGACAATTCCCACTCTAGAACCTCTGAGCCAGGCAGAGGCGGGAGGGCAGTGGGGTTCCCAGCTCCGGGGTCAAGGCTCCACTCCCCATGGCCAGTGCCCTTTCTGACTGCAGTGCCATCACCCTGGATCCTTTTGCTCGGGGGTCTTGTGCCCGCAAAGTCCGTGGCAGCATCGACAGACCAGTAGATGGTGTGATTGTGGCTCTGGGTACAACCAGTGACTTCTGAATGCCTGGCTGAGAGGTAGCCTCCTTGATGGGGTGTCAGACAGACAGCCTCACGGGCCCCTGCCTGACTGTAGAACTCACTGACTGGTCACTGGAGGGCCTTCTGTCCCCAAGCCCAGGCCTGTGGTCTATCCCTGCTAGGATGGCCCTCTGAGGGACAGGGAAGTAGGGGAGGGACATTGAGGTTGCATGCTCAGGCCCCAGCCCCTGTGGGCACGCTGGGTTTTGGGGCAGGAGAAAGGGGGCAAATGCTCTGTGGTTTTTTACATTTTCCAGGCCACAGCTCCAAATCTCAAAGGCGAGAGTGAGGTGGTGAGGACAGCCAGGAGGAAATTACAGGCCAGTGGTCTGGCAGGAAGCTTGCCCCTGGGCTTGGGCAAGCTGCAGAGGGCACCCGGAAACCCCTGGAGGGAAGAGAGCCCTGGAGCTACCTGTGGCTGCACCACTCACATGCTCCCAAGCAGCTGTCCCTGAGGGCCACCTGCATTCTGTCTGCTGCGGACCAGCCAGCTGTGTGCCCTGAGGCAGGCCTCTGTCCCCTCCAGCCTGCCAGGCACAGATCAACACCTCTTTGCTGCCTTTCTGTCTGGGCTGGGGCAGGGGGAGGCTTGGCTGGGCTACAGTTGGGAAAGGGCTTAGCTAATGACAGAAATATCATAGCAGCAATCACAATCAAAACGGCTCCCACTACTGAGTTCTGACTCTGAGCCAGAGCCTCCTAAGGGCGTTTTACCTGCAGTAATTGAAAAGACACAAGACTCTCCAACTCTGTTTAAATACGAAACTTGGCAGAATCATAGGTTTTATTTTTATCTTCAAGCATGTGGGTGAAGAGGGAAGTTCTGACGACGGCCTTCTGGCTTAACAAAGAAAACTCATCAGTAACCCTGCCTTTGAGGAAACAGAGACATCTGTTGACATGTTCATACACCACAGCAGCAAATTATTAAACAAGACAACTGGCCAGAATTACAGACTCTTTTCGGGATTAAAGATGACTTTCTAGGATATGCGAATCATCCTAGAAGTCTGAAAAGACTCCTCGGTCAGAAGTAACGTTTTGGAGGAGAGTTTCACAAGTGATTTCAGCTCTGTCTTGCTGTGACTGTGGAAACAGGAAACATTTCCTCCTCCTTATCTTGGGGAGCTTGGAGGGCCTGAAGGTTTCAAGGGTCCACCCGTTAAGAAAGAGAGTTTAAAAAGTTGTCCGGAGGAGCGCAAAACTTGGCATTTGTAATGGAAAAGGGCAGAATAGACATAAGGGGCATCCACAGTGATGCCACCCCCACGGGCATTTTCTTATGGGACCCTCACAGACCATGAGATGGGTGTTATCATTATCCCCACCCTCTGCAGGAGGAAACCGAAGCTCAGAGCAGTCCATGACTTACTTGAGGTCACACGGCGAGGAGGTCGAGGGCTGCTCTTGTGAGGACGGGGACTGCAGCTTTCGTGGAGCATGCTTGGGCTCCGTTGTCAGAGAGACCCGGGTTCCACTGTGGACTTTGCTGAGGAACCGTCTGAGTTTCCTGTTGCTGCTGTAACAAATTAACCACAAACTCAGTGGCTGAAAACAACATAAATGTATTATCTTACAGTTCCGGGGGTCAGAAACCCGAAAGGTTTCACTGGGTTAAAATAAAAGTGTCAGCAGTACGGCATTTCTTTTAAACAAGGAAAATCTGTTCTCTTGCCTTTTCTAGCTTCTAGAAGCTGCCCACATTCCTTGGCTTGTGGTCCCCTTCTCCATCTCCAGAACCAGCAGGTTAGTGTCTTCCCGTCTCTACCTGACTCTGATATTCCTGCCTCCCTCTGTCACTTATTGGAACCCTCTTGACTGTATTGAGCCCACCTGGATATTCCAAGAGAATCTCCCCAACTCAAGAGCCTTAACTCAATCATACCTGCAATGTCCTTTTGCCAGGTAAGGCAACATATATTCACAAGTTCCAGGGATGAGGACGTTGGTATGTTTGGCAGGGGGCTCTATTTTGCCTGCCACTGTGTCCTTGGCCAAGGAACCTGACATTTGGGATAACAGCCATTCCTAGAGGTTTGGAGAAGTTGAAAATAGAGGATTTGGCTTCCATCTATAGGGAATGACTGAGGCCCCAGTTAAGGGACCAGCTATTCTGGAGGCTGGTGACCCATCAAGGAACAAATGATCCATTGGAATGCCAGTGCTTCTGGTAGGAAGACAGTGCTTGGGAGATGCCATTTGTTCACAGAGAGGCTGCCCTCCTGGTCACTGGCCCCTCCTGGAGGTATGGCCCAGAACACAGCCTCAGACACATTCGAGTTGAAATCTCAGCTCTGCCTCCTCCCAGCAGCCTGAGGGTGGGTGAGGGGGTGGGGAGCAGGGATAACAGGGAAGGGAGGAAATAAACAAGACTTTCACAGATGACCTCATTTCTTTGTCTTCACCAATGTAGAGCTTCTGCTTCTGTTTTGCAGATGTGGAAACAACGGTTCAGAGAGATAAAACATCTTCTCTGAGATCACACAGCTACCGTGGGATTTCTACGCACCAGGATTCCCAAACTAGTGACGCCCACACCACCTCCGTGGGTGTTGGACATGTCTGCTGGCCTCCTGGCCTACTACTGCCTTGATATTTTTCTTTCAATCAACTCACTGCTTTTCTGTTTAAATGAGATCGTATTTTATTTCCATAAAATGGAAAAATCACAGAATTCATAAGCTTGTTATATATATTTTTATAATGCACATGAAAATGAATCTATCATCATAAAAATGGAAAGTGTTCATCGGTATATTATGTAAAATGGTTTCATTCCAGCAACGGGTTTCAGCTCTCTCTTCGGGAAGTGGCTCTATACCCGCTCCAGTTTCGCCAAATCATAACTTTACTAATGGCTGTAATTTATTCTGGTATTAAATTTTCAAATGGCTTCCCAGCGCAATGAAATCCAGAATCCCCAGCATGGCCTCAGGGCTCTGCTGACCTCTGCTTTCTTCATCTCTAGCCACTCTTGGGAAGAGCCGAACTTTCTTTGCTGCAGTAAGCCTTAGAACCAAAGTGCTTAACCACTACACTATACCAACTTTCTATGATGTCTGGTCTCAGCAAGGCCTATGATAAAAAATAAACAGGCTTGAAAACGAGCTAGCGAAGGGACTGGCAGAGCCCCCTCGGTCTCACTGGCAAACAGAGGAAGGGTTGATCAAATCCACCAGACAGAACAGCTCTTGCCAAGGGGGAGGAGCTTAGAGACCTTTTATAACCTCTTGTAAGGCAGAAATGATGGGTGGCTGTAGTGGCCAATCCCAGCTCTATGATCACATGTGAGGTGGGACTTCTTGGCAGCCAGCCCTGTGTTCTTCCCTAGAAACTTTACATTACAAGTGAGCTGAGCATCTGGACAGAGCAGACATCTTATAGGAATTTTGCAAGTGCCTCATATTCCTTTCTTTTATTGCAATAGGGATAATTTATTATCCGAGAAAGGAGTACAGATCCCAGTGTTCTTACGTAACAGTCACGGTTTATTAATTCCAACTTTTCTCAAAATTCGAATGAATAATTAATCAGGAAAAAAATTCCTGATTACATATGAGCATCAGGGACCTTGAGCCCCACAAAGGTGGGAGGGGTTTGCCTGAGGATTTCCTAGATTGTTGCTGGGAGGCATTAATGACCCACTGTGAGAAAACAGCCCAGGGCCTGATGCACAGTAGATGGATTTGCTTAGTAATTACTCTGTCCTAGTTTGGACGGAGCTCAGGAAGAACATACTTTTTCTCTGAGGTTGGAGGTAGAGGAAAGAGAGCACCAGCTCCTCAGGGGCAGCCTTTAGAACCAGTCAGCCTTAGTCCAGATCCCAGTGCCTCCATGGGCTAGCCGTGTGACGTTGGACTAATCACTTCCCCTCTCTGAGCCCCAGTTTCTTCATCTGTAAAATAGGGATAATAATAGTACCTCCCTCAAAGGGTTGAGGCGAGGATTAAAGGAGTTAATCCAAGAGCGCACTTAAAACAGGTAAAAATTACTAGACAATAGTTATTTTTGCAGCCAGCCAGACCCAGTTTTGAATCCTGCCACCAGCACAAATTACCGTGTGATTCTGGGTGAATTTGACCTCTGGACCTCTGTTCAAATGGGTTTGGTAACATAACAGTCCTTGCATCCAAGGGTGGTGGTAAGCATCCAGTGAGCAGGGTGTGTGAAGCTACTTACATCCCAGCCCTGGCATGCGGTAGGTAGGTGCCGATGGTGTAAGTGTCCGTCCTCCTAAGAAGCCCCTCCTGGGAGAGGCGGAGGGCCAGCTGTGGTGCCCTGAGGCAGGCCATGGCCTTTCCCAGCTGCCCCGCCCCAGTCGTGACGACCTTGCCCCTGCCCGTCTGAGGGGCAGGAAGGAAGTAAGCAGGGCAGCCGGCAGCTTCCCCTTTTTTGCCCTGCTCCAGGCGCCGAGCTGCTTCCCCCTTAGTGTTTCAGAAGAGGGGACAGCAGCACCATGGCCCCCAGCACAGCCATCCGGCAGACCTGCTGCTGCTTCAATGTCCGCATTGCCACCACTGCCCTGGCCATCTACCATGTGGTGAGTGTGCGGTCAAGCCCAGGGAGACTCTGTGTGTGTGTGTGTGTGTGTGTGTGTGTGTGTGTGTGTGTGTGTGAGAGAGAGAGAGAGAAGGCCCCTGATCTACTACTGAGCCCCCTCCGATGGGGCGGCCGCTGTTCCCCACCTCTCTGTGGGACCTTGACTTGTGCTTCAGTCTCCCCTTCTGTCAAAATGGGGGGAAGGGGACCTTGCCGCAGCCACGGGAGCAGAGCAGTGCTGGGAGTAGAGGTCCTTGTTCCGAGAGAACATAACTCACATTCTCTCGGAGGCTCAGTTTCTGCCTCTGTAAAATGGGATAAACTAGCAGCCACAGTCTGGGTGAAATTGGAATCTCAGATGTGAAAGTGCTTTGGGAGCCAGGAATCTCGGGAGAAAAAGAGCTGGGATTGTTGCCAGAATATGGGGCCAGGACACAGGCACAGCCTCTGCTCTTCCTGTCCACAGGCCCTGGGCCGCTGGAGGGATTGGCAAGTGGGACTCTCCTTTTTGTGCTTCCAATGGGAGGAAGGAAAGGGGATGAGTCTTTGTCGTTCACAGCTTGGGCAAGGCACTGCCTTCTCCCCACTAGGAAAACTTAGGACCTTGTGCTAATGAGCTGGGGGGACTTGCCTGGCCCAATCTCTTGTGGGACAACCCAAGGGGGAATGGGCCCAGCGGTTCCTTTACGGTGGCTGGTATGCACCGCTTGGGTACGGGTGCGGAGCCTTTTCTCTGGGTGAGCCATAGACTCCTGGGGCTAGAGATCTCTCTGTCTCAGTGGCTGAAGGTCGGGAAGCGGGGAGTCTGGACGGAGTTCTGTCCCGTCCCAGACCCATTGCCCCCACTCCACTACGCCGAGCCACACCCAGCTTCCCCAGGCCCAGGCGCCTTCCTCTCAGGGTGGCTCAGGGCCTGTGGTCAACAGTTCTCTCATGAGCCTGGAAGGGCTTCCTCAAAATCAGCCTAAATCTGCAAGCTGTGGTGGGCTGCTGTAAACGCTTAGACCTGGCTGCATCTGCTTCCTGTTGCAGGCAGGCCCGTGGCAAGAACCCAGTCATCAGAGGGGTGGTGCTGTTCAGCGGTTAGTGCACAGCTCCTGGATCCAGACTCCTGTGTGCAAATCCTGGCCTCACCATTTCCTAGCTGTGCAGCCTTGGGCCACTCGCTTAACCTCTCTGAAACTCAGTTTCCTCACTTAATAAATGGGCATTAGGGTAACCTCTGATAGGGTGGTTGTGAGGATCAAGGGAGTTAACGTCTACAAGGCAGTGTCTGACCCATAGTTGAGTCCTTTCTTAGTAGTGTATCAGACATGAAGTCTGCTGCCAGCACACCTGGAGTCAAGGTGGCAGACCCCAGAATGCTAGTTTCAGAAGGAGCTCAGAAGTTACCCTGCTTAGCTTCTGCCAATTCAAAATGATTCCGAGAAAAGCAAATAGTATCTTGGCTGTTCCACACCAAGTCCTTAGGGCCCCTTCAAGCTCTGAGATTGTGCAACATACTAGGAAGGACAGTGGAGTGGTACGCAGACGCATCCCAATGGGAAGCAGTCTCCTGGGTCCTTACCCTGGCTCTGCCACTAACTGGCTGTGCGACCTTGGATGAGCTGCTCTCTCGGGCCTCAGTTTCCGCTTTATAAAATGATGGGCATGTGGAGGGGTATGGACTAGCTCAGAGGTCTCAAACTCCAGTAGCTCCAGGGGCCAGGCAGGTCATGTGAGTGCAGTGGGACAGCTGCACCTGTGGTGACCTGGGGATCCTGCTCTGGGTCCACTCTGGTGGCTGCTCCGTTTCCCCTGATTGTTGCCATGAAAGAATGATGTTTAGAGAAGCAGGGAACACAGACTTTGATGTCTCATTTTCTAATGTTTCTGTGTTGGTGACTGATTCGAGGTAAAGAAAGAAATGCCTGTGCAGGCCACGCTGAATCCATTTGCAGCCTGCCTGGGCTAGGAGCCACCCTGCAAACGCCAAACTTGGTGACTCTCGAGGTTTTTTCTTGATCACACCGTCTGAGGTCCTCACCTGTATATGACAGCAGTGACATGACATACATGACATTAAGTGACATCAGTGCCCATCCACAGAGCTGGAGAATCTGTGGGCAAGTGATCAGGGAAGACATCTTGGAGGTGGTGCCATTAGCAGAGACATAGAGTTGGGTTGCGGGGAGTAAAAATGGGGGAGGAACGGATGTGCAAAGGTGTGGAAGTTGAACGACAGTGGCTTGTGACACTACACAGGCCAACCTAGAGGCTTCTGGTTGGAAGCAGGAGGTGGTTGGGGCTTGGAGTGACAAGCAAAAGAGTCTGGATCTTTACTATTGGTATTTTGGGCTGGATAATTCTTTGTTGTGGGATGTTTAGCAGCACCCCTGGCTGCTACCCACAAGATGCTAGGAGCACCCAACAGTTGTGGTAAATGAAAATGTCTCCAGACATTGCCAAATATCCCCTGGGGGGCACAATCTCTCCCAGTTGAAAACCACTGTTATAATATGAGTCATGGGGAGTCATGGGATGTTCTAAAGCCGAAGGCATGAGAACAGAGGAGAAGCCTTGAAGCTGTATGACTGGCTTAGGCGCTCATCTCTGGGCTGGGCTCCTTAATTGATTCCAGTGGAGGATGATCCTCCTGCCCTCTCTATGACAGGCTCCTTTTCAGAAAGGGCAGGGGCTGGGGACTTTCCTGTGGCCCAAGAGTCGGGTGGCAGATGTACTGTCAGGGCCTCGGACATCTGGATGGAAAAAGAGAAGCTGCCCTCCAGATGTGTCAATCGCCCAGACTAGGTGTCATCTGGAGCCAGTCAAGGGTGACAACCCTGCGCACTGAGAGCTATTCGTGGACTTGGCCTCTCTGGGGAGCATTAAATCGGGTTCTTGGTTTCATGGGACAGCGCCACACATTATGGAGTCATCAGGGCCATTATTACCTGAGGTCCCACCTGAGTCTAACAGCAGGAGGGCCTTCCTCAGGATTTCGCTGAGTTTGTGTAGTAGAGGATTCTCTGGGTCACAGATGATTTCTGACCCAAACTTGCACATGTTGGGGAGTTAGGGAACTTTCTTAAAGTGGCCACTTTGGTCCTGGCTTGTCTGTCAACCCAAAGCATGTCCCAAGTCAAAGGTAGGAGGTGAGGACCCCTATGCCCAGAAATATTTCCCTCCCTGACCTCTCTTGTCCAAAGTGCCTTGAATTCCATTAGAAATGCATTGCCTGATGTAAAGCTTTCGCCTATAATTTCAACCATGTGGCAACAGGAGATGAGCAAGGAGGGAAGGAGGCCGGTGCCAGTCCTGGTTGTCTCTGGGTTAATGGATTGTGAAAGTTCGAATTGTTTTTTCCTTTTCTGTATTCTCCATATTTGGTACAATGAGCATGCAGTACTTTTGAAAATAAACTTTTTATTTTAGATTTACAGAAAAATCGCGAGTATAGTACGGAGTTCCTGTATGCTCCACACTGGGATTCCTCTATTGTTAGCTATTGCTAATATCTTACATTAATCAGGCACATTTGTCACAACTGATGAGTTGATATTGATACAGTACTATTAACTAAAGTCCATACGTATTTTATTCAGAAAGCAAAGATTTCCTTTGCTTTCCCTTAATGCCATTTTTTTTGTTATAGTATCTCATTCAGGCTCCAACATTACATCTAGTCCTTAGGTTACCCTTGGCTGGGACAGTTTCTCATATTTTCCTGTTTTTGTTTTTTTTTTTGATGACCTTGACACTTCTGAGGGATATTGGTGATGCATTTTGTTGACTATTCCTCAAATGAGACTCGTCTGATAGTTTTCTAATGATTAGACTTGGGTAACGTGTTTTTGGGAGGAAGACTGCAGAAGTCAAGTCGCATTCCCAGCATGTCATATCACTGTTGATGTTGACCTTGGTCGCCTGGCTGAGTCAGTGTCAGGCTTCTCCACTGTGAGGTTACTGCTTTTCCTCCCCCTCCCAAACTGTCTTCTTTGGAAGAAAGTCACTGCACAGCCCACATGTAAGGAGCGGGGAGGTATGTTTCTCCTCTTCGAAGGCAGAGTAGCCATATAAATTATTTGGAATTCCTCACGGGAGAGTTATCTGTTCTTCTTGTTTATTATATACATAAATGATTGATTTATTTTTTTTTATCAGCAGGGACTCATGGATATTTATTTTACACTTTGGGTTATAATCCAATGCTACTTTAGTTGGTGGCTTAAGTGTACTACTTTTTAAATTGGGGAAAGAAAAGTAAAGCAATTTCTATTAGTTAAAGGAGTCTCTAGTGAATGTAGCTACATTCTCAAACAAGTCTTTATTTTACAAGCCCAGCCCCAGGTCAGGATCCAGACCTGACTTATTCATGGCCTCTGCCCTTCAGAGGTTCTAGTCTGTCCAGGAAAAACTGTGATAATGGCTCTGATGGATGACAGTGCTGGCTGTTATTTGGGCACAGGTGAGAAGCCTTAGTCCAGCCCCTGGTGAGGGTCGGGGGTTCAGGAAAGGCTTCTTGGAGGAGCCTGAGTGCTAAGGATGAACAGGACTTCACTTGGGTACACTGGGGAAAAAAGGAGATGCCAGGTGGAGGGAGCAGCACTAGCAAAGGCTTGGAGGTGGGGGGACCATGTGATGGTTTGGAAACCCTAAGACGTTCGTAAAGCTGGGGTAGAGAAGGGATGGCTGTAAGGTGTGGCGGAGGAAGCTGGCAAGGTCAGCAGGGGCAGAACTGGACCAAGTCCCTCGTTTCTTTCAGGCTTCATAGCTGAAAGGATGGACCTCTGCTTGGCCCAATTCTCACATTTTATAGTTGAGAAAACAGAGGTCCAGGAGGGTCCCTGACTTGTTCCAGGTCACACAGGGCAGTGGGGCAGGGGCTTGCTCTAGGCCGCCACTACTGACACACATGTGTGTAGAATGAGCCAGTGAGTGGTGAACAAATGAATTCTTTACCTGCCCCACAGGCCAGGGATGGTCTGTCTGTCCGGGAGGCCCTTCATTTCTTCTTTATGG